ACTTAAGAAAGTAAGAAGAAGAAGAAGAAGAAGAAGAAGAAGAAGAAGAAGAAGGCAAATCCTCCTCACAAAATTTTTGGTTGGCATATTTTCTCTCCTCCTCAACAATGATGGAATGAGGGGCATGAAAAGCATCCATAGAAGGGGGCTCCCCAATAGGCTCTTTGAGATAGGAAGGGATGGAAATAGGGTGAGGAGGAATATGGTCAAATCTTCGAGAAAAAGGGAAATGAGAAAGGGGAAAAGGGGTAGCTACTCCCTTACCACAAGGTCTCACATCACCAACGAGGTGATGGAAATTAATCATAGAATCCTCAAATGAAGGACACTCGTGATCTACATCTCCCTCAAGCTCAAAAACTCCAAGGGAATCAACCTCAACCTCCTTATCACCATGATGAACAACCTTTCCCTCAACTAACTAAAAACCTAAGGTCTCAAAACCGTGCATGAATGGAGGTAGATTCATCTCAAAGTCATTTAAGTCCCATGAAGCGTCCTCGATGAAATCATCCAAAAATCTATAAGTTTTCATATGACTCTCGAAAAACAATTAGGACATAATATCAAAAGAGTCCAAATACTCATATATTGAACGGTCACAAACATACACTTGAGACTTATCAAACTGGGAGACAGGGTTAGGACTCATAAAGTCGACATTAGCTTCATTCTCAACTCCTTCACCATCACTCGAATGCTCTCTAATGGGATCCTCACTCATATGGGGAAAGGGAGAATAAGGAAGGGCAATTTCTCGGGAGTTGGCTAGTTAGAGAATTTTGCTCTCAAGCATCTTCATTATAGATACCATCTCTTTATTATCTTAATCCCTCATCTTGTTAAACTTCTCCATCATCTTCATCATCTCCATCAACTTCTCTTTCTTCAAATAGAATCACCCTCATAAAAGGGTTCATTAGAAGCATAAGGGAAATCATTTGGAGCCATGTAAGAACAAGAAGATGAAGAGGGAGGATCATTCACATTATAGACATGAGCATCATCATATTCCGGAGAGGGGGCACAATCAAACAATGAGATTCATCATTAACAATAGGAGCAAAAGAGTTGAAATCGCTTGTTCTAGTTTCACATATGGGATCACGTGACAAATTGTGGGAAGGCATGCTAATATTAGAAGAATCAACACATTACACATCAAGATTAGAAACATGGTTACCCCTATTATAGACATCCCAAGCAAAGAAAACATAAAAATCCCAAGCATCATCAATTGATAATGCTCTAAATTCACCATTATGCATGCTTTCAACTATGCCTCTAGTTTTCTCATTCAAACCAAAATAAAAAATCTCACAAGCCTCCTAAAGACTACAACAATTACATTTAAGAAATCCCTTAAGTCTACTGATATATTCACAAAAAGGCTCATTGTCATATTGAGGAAATGTGAGATAAGCCATTTTTTCAAAAACAACACAAAGAAAAACAAACAAATAAATGAAAATTATACACAAATGCCTAGACTCAATAAGGTATTGATATATTCTTAATTGGACAGCACGGTCACCGACTTCCGATTCTGACCACCTTCTAGACCTTGAAGTATTCCAACTGAAAACTGTTGTCAGGATGGACGGGTGGCTTAGTGGGTTTGTGCAACCTACGTCCGAGCTGGATAGGCTAGGCGTTGAAGCGATTCATCCACAAGTTAAATTCTTCGTTGTTAGTTTTGATGCGATAGAACCGATGCTTCCAGTCGCGCCACTTGGACGGCTTGTGCATAACCACCCAATATTCCTTCTGGGTGTTTAGCAAATCAGCCGTCTATCTTAGAATCCAGCCGAACCATTGAGTACATCTCACAAAAAACTAGGAAGTCTGGCTTGAAGCCTTGCCGAAGGCACGTCACCAGATAGCCAAAAATGTTTACCCTATTGTTTGGCACCACCTGGAAAATTGCAATGTTGTATTTGTCTAGCAGAGCCTGGACGAATGGATGTAAGGGGAAGCAAAGGCCCACTTCCAAGGCGGCACGGTAGACGCTGAAGCATTTATTTCGTTGCCTCCTAACTTCCCAAGCGGCCACCGAGTATGAGCGGCTCGACGCCATGATCTTGTAACCATCTCCAAGCTGGAGGAGTTCTTTAAACTTCTCAAATTTATGGTGTAAAAAGCTGAGGGCAACGTCACTGACCGTACAGACATGTGTGTCTTTGAAATTTTCGGTGTTGGGCTCTTCGGCCAGCTGATCGACGTCCGGATTCTTAGCTTCTTGTTCGGCGACCCAGGGTTCAGGGGCCCTGGCCGAGCAAAACTCGGAGGACAATACTATGTCTAAGGCAGCAGCCTCGGCCAAGCTCCCTCCCCTAGAGCCTTGGCCGGCTTTAGTAACAATGGTGCCCTCGGGACCTAAGGGTTTTTTACCCTTATCTTTCTTCTCTCCAGCTTCCGTCTGATTTCCTGAAGGAGGAGCGTTGCAAGGGGGAAGGTTGGACAACTCAGAGATATGAATTCCAGTCCTAAGCCTGGCCGACCTAGTAGTATAGATTGAGGGTTGTTGGGGATTTTGGTCGAACGATCCCCCTTGACCGGACCTAGCTTCCGCCTAATTTGTTGAAGGATGCCTTTTTAAAGATAGCAGCTCGGACGGCATCAGGACCGAGCTGATATATTGGGAGAGGTGTTGTACCGGATTTTGCCCGAAAGCCTCTCTAGAAGAGGTTTGAGAAGAAGTGCCTTGCTGAGCTTGTCTCTCAGAAAAGGAGGCGGTCACCTCCACTACAGAACAGGCACTACCACTAGCTGTGGCGCCCTTACTCTCCCCGTATGTGTTATTAGGGTCAAAAGGGACTAGGGGATCCACCATACTGCCGTCTAGACTTCTGGGGGCAACCCGCTCGTACGTTTGTCTCGTACGCGCCATGTTCGACTGTAGGGACAGAGAAGAATAGGTGGGGGTGAGTTGGTACGCACTATAAATGGACCCACTCCAAAGAGAGGAGGAGGCGTCTCCGTCCACTCTAAACTCCCCAGTCCTAGGCGAACGACTGACCTCATGAGGAGAGACGGACAAAGTCGAGTATTGTGCAAGCTCATGTTTAAAAAATAAAACAAGTATGAAAAAAGAAAAAAGTAAAGAAAAGCAGACGGTTACCTCTGTACGAGTAGAAAAATTTGGAAGATGTACGGTTACCCAAACGGCGCGTCAAGATAGACGGCCAGATCAGCAACTTCAAGCCATAGGCCTAAGAAATACGGAACAGGTGTCCCACTTGATACCGGGCGGCACCATATGTCCGACTAATATCAAGACTTAAGTCCATCAATGAAATCAAGCCGACTGACTAAGGAATTTAGCCCTAAAGGATAATCCCATGACCAGACGGACGGTACAGTCCACGTCTTTTTAATAACAATGCTCCATCAGCCTGATACTCGAACGAATCTGGCCTGAAAGAGTGAAGATCAGAGGAGGCGGCCCGTATGGTACGAGCCACCCCCTTTGAGGGACAAATGTTTATGGTACTCTGGCCTGACGAGTGAAGATCAGAGGAGGCGTCCTGTATGGTACAAGCCACCCCCTCTGAGGGGCATATGTTTACGGTAAAAATACCCCAGACACGTGGTCCAATCCTATAGAGACACTTGGCCCAATAATAGGGCAACAAGTGTCCCAATAGGAAGATGACACATAGCAAACAAGAGAGCACCCGAATGAGAGAAAAGCCTCCTTACATCAAGAGGCCCAAATCCCGAGAAAGTGCTAAAATAGCGCCCCAAAGGACAATTATCCTTACCTGATTGCGCCGCCAATCAGAGCACACCATTCTAGGTCACCAAACCCTAGATGACACACACTCCCACCTCTATAAATACCCCAATCATTTATGATGGGAGGGGTGGATAGAGACATCTCATTTATTGCATAAGCAATTAGCTCCAACTTCTCTCTACTTTCTCTCTCTAAATTACTTCATTTTTTTATCACTAACTTGATCGTCAGAGGCGAATATTCCGTCAAATGAAATATTCGTTGTTTTGTAGAAGTCCGCGAATGTTTGGTTATATTCAAGATCTGTATCCCGAGGGATTTCAAAAAGTCCCAAAACACTTATCTTAGACAAGTGGGAGATTGAAGGTTTTATGTCTTCGTCAAGTGTAATTACTACAAGGGACCAAATTATGGAAATAATAAAGTTCGATCATTTGGGTTGTCGTTATATCATAGCTAGAGGTACTAACGATCTTTGGGCTACTAAAATAGGTCAAAGCCCAACTGAACGAATCCTATAAGGTCACAGAAAGGGGCTAGGTCGTGGAGCATAAGAGGAAGAGGCCCATGATGGGCCTTCTCCCTCCAGGTGGTTAGCCATATGAGAAGTCATAAGGGGTTTGGGCTTTGATTCCTAGTCTAATAATAATATGATTATAAATAGATTAGGTGTCTAGAGTTGAACATAACATTCAGTGATCAGTTAATCAAACCCTAATTAGCAAGCACAAACCAACCCCCTCTCTCTATCACTCTCCCCCCCTCACGTTCGTACTCCCTCAAGGGGCGCCGGTGGTGTGCTCGTGGTGGTGATCCGGTTTTCCGTAAAGGTGGTGATCGTGGTTTAATCCTCCTTCATCCGAACAATATAACATTAGTGAACGGCTCATTCGAATCCCATGGACTAAGTAGAGGAGCAATGATTGGGGTTCTATTATCTCCCTAATTGACAGTCAATCGCAACGTGGAAATCACACTTCAAAGGTATAATTATGTGGTTCTTGTATGTTATGCATGTGATCCTATTTTAGGTGCGTATGAATGTGATTCATAAAATTCCGCTCAGAGTACCTAAATCCCTACACCCTCAGGGAGATTTGAGTATAATATCACCTATCATTCTTTAGTAGGCCCATTATAATATGGTGTCTTATATCGTTAGCAAACCACCACTGAGAGATGATTCAAGTTAAGTTGGTGAACAACTTTAAAAAAAAACCACTCCTGGTCATATGACTGTAAAATATAAATATTCTATCATATGTCACAAGAAATAAAGAGGTTAGACACTTTTTACACTTATTAATATCTCCTTTATAAAAACAAATACTTAACAAACTATCGGAAGGAGGCTCTTAAGCAACCCTGAGGACAATTAACATTTTTTCTTTCACCAGTTGATTAGTGTTTTCTTAAAAAGATCAATTGTTCAAATTGGTGAATACCCAAAACGGGTACAATAATTAGGGAAACGGATGAGTATTATAATATTATAACATCAAAAACTATATAATCCGTATCGATTAAACACACTTTAAAAAGAAATACGAAGTAGAAGAATAATGGACAATGAAGGCCATTTTTGTAAATCAACCCAACTAAAGGCCCGTGGATCAAAAACAGAAAAAAATAAAAAAAAATAAAAAATAAATAAAATAAAATAAAAAATAAATAAATAAAAGAAAAAAAAAAAAGTATGAAAACGACGTGATTAAGGCGGGAGAAGAGAAAATATTGATTAAAAACATCACCTTAATCACTCTTTACTTATTTCAGAAACAAAACCTTACGCAATGAACCAGAAAAACAGAGATAGAAAACAGAAACAGGTAACACTACATTACATAGATAATGCCTACCATTATTTAGCCTTTTCAGCCTTCCCTAAGCTTCAGAAAAAAAAACCTTACAAAAATCTCTCCCACCCAACTCAACAAAACCCATTTCTGCCATCATCATCATCATTCTCCCCATTATACTCTGATGGCCGATCTTTCACCACCTCATCCGCCTCAATCCTTTGGGCTTGAATCCGACGATATTTCGTCGCTTCTTCACAACCTCCTTCACAATTCTTCCCAACCCTCCACCTCTTCACCCCTTCCTAACCACCACCAACCCCCACCTCCTCCTCCTCTTCCTACTACTGAGTCCCGCCGTCAATTTCCTGGATCCGCTGTTTTTTCTGAATCACCTGCTTTATTTGGCCCAAATTTCCCTTTTGCTGGTGGTTATTATAGCTCTGATCTTTCGATGGAGGGGATCGATGATGCAGATTGTCAAAGCGAGGTTGTCGTCTGGTTTTTGTTATTGTATTTTCTATCTATTCGTTATTTGTTAGAGTATTATGGTTTGTCTTATTGATTTTGTTTTTGGACATTGGGAGTGGTTAACTGTTTTATTGAACAGGAGGAAACTCGTATGCAGTCTGCTTCAGGTAAGAGTTCGTCGAAGCGTAGCAGAGCAGCTGAGGTTCATAACATGTCTGAAAAGGTTTGAACTAATAACTCTGTTCTGATTTAATAGTTTTTGTACGAGTTCAAATTACACTATCAATGTGACAATTAATCCGGGATCGAGATATAGTAGTTTTGGGTGTTTGATAGTTTAATTGTGGACAGAGAAGGCGACAGAGGATTAATGAGAAAATGAAAGCACTGCAGAAATTGATTCCCAACTCCAATAAGGTGGTACTAATGATAATTAATTGTTAATTATTAATAATTATTTTTCGGATTAATGGTTTAACAAGTTAAACGACAATATTTAAATTTGTCACACAGACAGATAAGGCTTCAATGTTGGATGAAGCTATCGAATATTTAAAACAGCTTCAGCTACAGGTTCAGGTGTGTTATCTTAAGCTTACTAAATTTTATAATTCGATGATATTTGTATATTTTATGTTGAAGATCCGGAATAAAAACATATTAAATTTCTTGTTGTAAAGAACGTGATTTACAGATTGTAAAATATTAGCAGAAATAACAAAACTGAAGGCTACAATGAGGTCTGAAACCCTTATGTTATTCAGACTGACAGACTTGGCTATTTTTATAAAATTTGAATGATTAAAACTCAAAAATTATAGTTACTTGTCCATAACATGTTAAGATATATTAGAGTATCAAATATTCGACCTAGGTGCATAAAGTGAGGTGAAAATTTTAGGCAACATAATAAGTATTCAATGCTCAGTTGCTCACATGTAGTGTATGTGCTGTAGTTGATAACGATATTGAGTTCGAAAGGGGTGCTTTTCTCCAGGCTTGATGTATTCGAAATGAAAGGATCTCGGAAGCTTTGAATTCACACTTCACAGCTAAGGAATTCATACAATAAGGATTAAAGAATCGTCAATGAACATATATGCTCTTGAATTTAACTGTCTTTTAGATGTAACAATTTACTGATCACAATACAAGATCCTTCATTGACTTTTTGTGATTCTGTTTTACGTTATGTTGTACCTTGCTAGTGTGTTGAAAAGTAGGTTTGATGATCTTAGTAATGGTGGCGGCAAAGTTTCCCTTAAGGAGAGTGTAGCTTAAATACTAGCTTAGTTGTTAACCAAATTTAAGAATCTGAAAGACATATATAACCGTAGATGTAGATATCCGGCCTTTTGTTAAACCTACAATTAGTGAAGATATTGTGTCTATTTAGAAGTATACGAAAGGTTTTTTACTTATCCATAGAGTTGGTATCCATCTATATTGTGCCCTGGTTAGCAGTCTACTTTAGTTCATCTAGATGTTTTCTGTGCTTACTGCATAAGAGTCTAAGGCCGGAAAATCCTGTTAATAAGGATGAGAATCAACTAAGCATTTTGCAGATTGAAGGCGATAAAGGTACCACTATAATGAACTAATGTCATTCTTGTATAAAAGAGTGTTTAGAAAGGGAAGTTACAGTTCTTCATGTCTGGTAATTTGCTATTTGTAGTTGCAAATATGAAATATCAACAAGCTATATAGAGAATTAGGGTTGACTATTATGCACAGCAAGTTAGCTTAATTTTGTTACAGGCTTAACAGCAGTTCTTTCCAGTATTTGCTTAGACACACACACATAGTTCTTAAAACTTTAAATGCAAATTTCATCTACTTTTTTTTTTTTTTTTTTTTTCCTGTTAGATTTTTATGGCATATAGATTCAAAGGCACAAAAGAAATATAAAATTGATTTATGATTGATTTATTTTGACTTATTAAAATAGTTATAAACCTTACAATGTGATGGAATAAATTCATGGATTGAATTTGCTGGTGTGTGCCATCTTGTTGCGTGTATGATCACATTTACGAAGCAGACTAAATGTTCCCAATGTAATGACCTAATCCTTTGAGTTGAGGGCCTTGTTTGTTCATTCGTTTTTGACAGGTTTTTATACTGACTCTTTGCCTTTTTCCTGTGCCAAAAAGCCCAAAGTTTAGTTTGGTAGATGACATTTAGTTTTCTGTCATATTTTCAAAAGCTGAGTTGAAGAGCTTTTTCTCAATGATCTGAATGGTTTACTGAAAAGCTGGTTAATTTGCTTTTAATCAAGTAACAACTGATCATAACAAAGATATAGGTAAACAATTAATACGAACAGCTAAAAATACGAGCTGCTAAAGCTAGCTAACCTAGGTCTTTAAGAGTGAAAATTAATTTCAAATGCATTGTCAGTTCCATGCTCTTGTGATAAAAGTTTGAACGGATGACATTGTTGTACCTGTCCTTAACGGAGCTTTTAATTGGCTGCAAACAATATAAATTGTGGAGCTGAAGTTTTTAATCTATCGTGTTGGTATTACAGATGCTAACCTTGAGAAATGGTTCAAGTTCACATCCCTTTTACGTACCAGGAGCGATGCAGCTTCCATCTGCAGCACAACTTGATGAGGCCAACAGCAGTAGAGCAGGATCCTTCACAGCTGATCAAGAAGCTCCCATGCAGGCAATGTTTAATCTTTCCAGCAAACCTGCTTTTTCTGACTATAAGCTCCTAATGACCAGAATGTCAGAGAACAACAGTTCAGCGCAGCCATTTCATCTGAATCCGTCTATGACTGTACATTATAGGCCTTTCAATGCCTCAATGCCCTCTAAGGTACCATTCAGAAATCTCTTGTTGAATAATGCATCAATGTAAGACCTTTTAACAATGTCAGTGCATTGATTTTTTCTAATAAATATCTTAAGTTTAAACATGTTTCTGTCAATCTGAAGGTACTCTGCAAGGATCCTGCATTACCCCAGTTGCAGTTGGACATGAGTCACTGTGGTCAGAGTTCATCATCAGGAATATCCTCTTGAATATGAAGATGTTTAGCTCAAGAACATCATGCTCAAATTTCTGTATAACACTACAGATAATTCGTATCCATGCAGATGAAATAGAAATTGTAGATCAAGTACTTTGTTCTGACATAGTTTCTAAAACATTATTTTGAACTGCTAAGAAAATGTCTAGATTCAGTTTTTGTTTCCTTGTATAACGCCAAAATGTTTAAGCCTTCATGCCCTTTATAGGGGATTATATAGTTCAACCCACAATGCATGTTTGGTACTAAATCATAAACAATGGTGACAATAAGTGATATATCATTCTACATGTGTTTATTTGGATGGTATACTACAAGAAGGGGTGAATTGTAGCATGTTCCTTGGTGCCAAATTTTCACGGAATATAAAACAGGTTGTTGTAAAGAACTTAGACAATGCAAAACGGATTTTACAAGGAAACCTTGGGATTTTCCTTAAAAAAAACATTTTCATTATAATAGGCCAAATACTCTTAGTCACAACCTATTACAATCAGCCCTTTCTCATAAATTCCTATACTGAACTTGCTACGTACTAGTAGAAAAATTGCTATTTATAACTGACGAAATTCACTTTTAGTAATTGGCATTTTTGGTTGTTATTGCCACCGTTACAACTAGTGAAAATTATTCGTAACTAGCTAATGTAAGTTACTAATAATGTACTATTCGTTACTGGCTTAACCTAACACCAATTACAAATAGTCAATTTTCCAAGTTAGAAAGCATACTATTCGTAACTGGCGCTAAATTACGCCGGTTACAAATAGTATTTTTTTTTTTAAAAAACGTAAATAAATAAATAAAATGGAAGCAGTAGCAAATTCCTCTACTGCCACCACCCGTACACTACATTTTTTTTAATGTGAAGACCATAAATATTATAAAATACAATAATTATCAATCTAACCAGTATAAGGCCAAATTTAAGCAACATCTACATATACATCATCAACTCTAATTGATGTACTTGTAAATTACAAACATGTCTCTCACAATTTACAATAAATAATACTCTATAACTAAAAAAGCTAGTTAGTTAAATGATACAATGGTCAACCTTCAAATTCTGACGATTTTGTCTCTGTCTGCTTCAAATTATTTTCAACTGTAAAGGACATGTCATCCTAAAAGAATAGAGTGACAATTTTGAATCTCTTAAAGTACTCTCATAGGTCGATCCAGTGCAGTTCCGAACTGGCACATGTGCAAATGATTTATGACCATCATGTCCTTGCAGCACAAGAAACGGTGTTGTAAATCATACTACACACTAATTTCTGGTGGTCATCAATCGTCCATCATTTAGATGACTTCGATTAGGGATAATTTTCGATTTAAATATTCAATGTTCACTTAACAGGTGTTTCTTTATCCAAGACATGGTCTTGATACCCTGTTTTGAATATTTCCATAAATCAAATGGACTCATTATTTAATTCTAAACCACAATTAAATAACAATGGAGTGAATGGTAATTTTTTGCATAAAAAAATTAATTACTCCATAAATGAATGGTTTCAATACAGTGTCTTGCATTAAAACATCAAGTTTAATTAAAACACATGTACAGGGAGTTTCAAAGCTAGTCTCCAACGTGCTTGATTCCCATCGCCTCAACGTGCTTGTTGTGTTTCACTTGTGGCAGAGGTTTAGTCAAAGGATCGGCCACATTATCATCTATGCCGATCTTGCAAATTCTGATTTCACCTTCGGATTTCCATTCCCTTATCATGTGAAATCGTCTTTGGACATGTTTGACCTTCTGGTGCTCTCTTTGCTCTCTAGCTTGAGCGATAGCTCCATTGTTGTCACAGTAGAGATCTATCGGACCCTTGATGGATGGTACAACACCAAGTTCACTGATGAACTTGCGAATCCAAACAGCCTCCTTAGCGGCTTTTAAAGCTGCCAAGTACTCGGCTTCAGTTGTAGAATCTGCAGTGTTGCTCTTCTTGGCACTCTTCCAGCTAAACGCTCCTCCATTCAGACAGAATATGTATCCTGACTGTGACTTGAAATCGTCTATGTCAGTCTCGAAGCTAGCGTCGGTGTAACCTTCAACAACCAGGTCTTTATGGCCACCATAAACTAGGAATTTATCCTTGTTCCTTTTCAGGTACTTTAGGATATTCTTGGCCACAGTCCAATGCGCCTCTCCAGGGTTTGATTGGTATCGGCTCGTAGCATTCAAGGCATACGATACATCTGGCCTGGTACATATCATGGCATACATGATCGACCCAATTAACGAAGCATATGGAATCTGATCCATTCTCTCTCGCTCAACAAGTGTCTGTGGACACTGTTTCTTGCTGAGAGTTACGCCATGGGACATGGGTAGATGCCCTCTCTTGGCATTCTCCATGTGGAATCGTGCCAGTACCTTATCAATGTAAGTACTCTGGCTCAATCCAATCATCCTCTTAGATCTATCCCTGTAGATCTTGATGCCCAATATGTACTGTGCCTCTCTTAATTCCTTCATTGAAAAGCACTATCCTAACCAACCCTTTACGGACTCCAGTAATTTTGTGCTCTTTCCAATGAGCAGTATGTCATCGACATATAGGACTAGGAATGCGATGTCACTCCCACTGACCTTCTTGTATACACAAGATTCTTCTGTATTCTTGATGAAACTGAACTTGCTTATAGCTTCATCAAGTCGCAGATTCCAACTCCTGTTGGCTTGCTTCAGTCCATAGATGGACTTCTTAAGCTTGCAAACCTTTCCTTCTGGCTGTGTCATGTACACAGTTTCTTCCAAAATCCCATTTAGGAAGGCGGTTTTGACATCCATTTTCCATATTTCATAATCGTAATATGCAGCAATCGCTAGAATAATCCGGACAGATTTTAGCATTGCAACCGGTGAAAAGGTTTCATCATAGTCAATCCCGTGGACTTATCTATAACCTTTTGCCACCAGTCTAGCCTTGTATATCGATACATTTCCATCCTTGTCTGTCTTCAATTTGAAGATCCATTTGCAACCAATGGGTGTGTAACCCTCGGGAAAATTCACCAAGTCCCAGACTTGATTTTCAGACATGGAGTCCATCTCGGATTTCATGGCTTCTTGCCATTTAGCAGAGTCGGTGCTCGTCATAGCTTGCTTGTATGTCGCTTGCTCATCACCATCCATAACTAGGATGTCTTGATCATCGGTTAAGACATTACCAAGGTATCTGTCTGGTTGAAATCTTTGCCGTTGCGACCTATGAAGGGTAATAGGTTGAGCATTTACATTGTCTTTTTTATTCTGATGACCAATCTTCTCAGCTGCTTCCAAAGCACTTAGATTGTCAGTTTTATCAGGTTGACATTGTTGCTCGTCCTCTCGAACTTCGTCGAGTTCGATTTTCCTCCAACTTGTCATTTTGGAAAGGTGTTCCTTCTCCAAAAAGACACCATCACGAGCAACAAACACTTTGTTCTCAGATTTATTGTAGAAGTAATACCCTTTGGTTTCTTTTGGGTATCCCACAAAGAAACACTTATCCGATTTGGGGTGAAGTTTGTCCGAAATTAGTCGTTTGACATATGCTTCGCACCCCCAAATCTTGAGAAAAGACAATCTAGGAGGTTTCTTAGTCCATAATTCATATGGAGTCTTTTCAACAGCTTTTGATGGAGCTCGGTTCAGTGTTAGTGCCGCGGTTTGTAGTGCATGTCCCCAGAAAGAGATAGGAAGTTCACTATGACCCATCATTAATCGAACCATGTCTAACAAGGTTCGATTCCTCAGTTCGGACACTCCGTCCCCAAAAACATGCAATTTCATTGAACATATATTTGCAAGACAATTTTGAAATTATTGTTAAAGTCTTACATTCAAAATAACTAGGTGTCCAACACCATAGGTCATAGTATGTTAAAAAGCATGATGAAAAACTAAGATTAGTTTAATTACATGTCATAGACAAAATGGTGCATGTAAGCACGACCAAAAAACCATCTTCGTCGTCTACTTGTCCTTGCACCAACACTTGATAAGCTTCTCACTTGGTCCCTGAAAAGGGAACATAAAGTGAGTCATACTTGGTATCTAATACCTAAGATAAGCTTAATTCACAAGTTTTTAAGGAAAATACCTGAGGCAGATGCTCCATTTCTCTGCTCCTCTTCCCGAAAGAGCTTGCACTCTCTCTTGTAGTGGCCTTGCCCACCACAATAGAAGCAACGCATCTTTGCCTTGACCTTGAAATCTCTCCTCCTTGATGATCTTTTGGTTGCCCCAAATGAATTGGCTCGATGAAGTAGCTCCACCACACTCTTCAAAGAATGTGCCTCCTTTTTTTTCAGCCCTTAGTGCATCATATCCTAAGTGGAGTGAAGGGAGCATAATATGACAAGCCATGCCATCTTCTAATGGAATTCCGAGGATTTCCATGTGTTTAAAGAGCCTAGTCATTCTTGCCACATGGGGTCGGAGGGGCATACCCGGTCTGAACTTAGTGTTGCAGACTGTAGACCAAAGATGGTACCTCTGTTTAGCAAGACAACCTTGATCTGATGGCTTCACTGAAAGGAATGGTGTCCTTCCAACAAGTGTATTATTCTGATAGAAGGTTCAGAATTATTACAGAGCTAATTCTTATGTAAGGTCAAGTGATCGGAATGCCTAGGTGGAGGCCGCTTCCGATCAGTAATATTAAGGTATAATTAATATTACAGCTTAATCTTAACTGAACCCTTCGGGTAAAACCCAATCGAACAACCGATCTGATACGACCAATTAATCCGAAGGATTTAATGAGTTGTCGGAGTTTTACAAACATAGATGTCGGATATCGAGCCTAGGGCGTCGAGGCCGAGCGTCGCAAAATCACAAGCAACAAGTACGAGCATAGTCGTAGCATCACATTGGCCTAGCCATGTGAAGTTCTAGGCTAGGCTAGCTCATCGCAAGCCTAGGCGCACCATGTGTGTGCTAGGCGCACCATGGTGTGCTAGGCAAGGCATGAGTGCTAGGCGCACTAGGCTGCCTATCGCAGCACCATGTGCGTATGTGTGCGTGCCTTCGCATAGCACAGCAGCACCGCAACGTGTGTGCTTGGGTGCCTAGGTGCTATCGCAGGCCACACTCACCAAGCACAGCCCATCGCAATGCTGGGCACTTGCGTGTGTGCATGTGCGTGTGTGTCTTGCACCATCGTCAAGCACCAAGTCTCATCATGCGTGGCTCGCTAGCAGCACGCATGCTGGGCCATGCGTATGCGGGTGCCTGGGCGTGCGACTGGGAGTGCGAGGGCGTGGCTAGCGCCAGCACCTAGCAGCGCCCAAACGATAGCGCGCAGTAGCAGCACGAGCATCGCCCAGCACAGCACACATATGCTTGCTGGGGTGATGCAGGGATGATGGATGGCTGGGCTAGCTGGCAGTGCTAGCTGTGCATGCTGGGCTGGCTGTGCTAGCTTGCCGGCAAAGCAAGCAGCCAGCTTACCCAATGCTTGGAGGCGATTTTGTGAGGGGTAGGGACTAAGGCTTGGGCAAAGCCTTGAGGAGAAAGGCAATGGTCCCCCCCACCTATTCTTGGTCCTCACTTAACTCTCTCTCCCCTTGACACTTGTTGCATTGTGATTGATTTGATTATTAATTTAATTTAGAATTAAATTAATCATCAATTTTATTCATTTTCCCACATTGGTTGGGAAATGAAAATCAAGGGTTCATTTCCCTATAAATACCAAGAGTTGGGTATTTGGGAAAGAACACACTTGAGTTGAAAAGTAAAGGAAACTCCATTGTTGAGCATACCTTGAAATTCGTAAAACTCTAGTTTATTTTGTCCGGGCCTTGACTAACCTTCGAAGCTTAGGACGATCAGGCCGGGTTCAAGGGTACGATCCCGTCGGACTCCTCGCACTATCGGGGTTCAAGTAAGAGCTCATAGTTGAGCGAAGCACGTGTCAAAGGTATAATCTTTTATCATTTCTTATGCTTTAAATTATATTTTGCTTGTTAATTGCATTTATTATGGGGGCGGGTCTTGGCGGGTTTCATTCCGCGTAGTGTGGGTCACTGCGAAACCCTACATTCACATTCATGTCTATAAGTGACCTAGTCACCTCAAACAAGACTCCATCATTGTTGTCATTGAAACTCTTAGAGAATCTCACACCGACAACATCCCTTAGTCCTCCAAGGAATAAGTCCGGAAAAGAGAATGGAAGTTTTTCTTTCCATTCTTCCGGGATGGAGTTAGCCATGAGTTGTGACACTAATTTGCAGTCATTGGACCATGCACAATAAGTTTCGTCACTCAAGTATTTCTTGGTACAGAGGGTTGGGAGGGAAGTATCTAGAACATACTCCATGGAACAACTCCGGAGAGTTTTCCTGAGTTCTTCTTCCCATTCTTCAAGGTTTGTCAAGTTAAGCTTGATAGCCAACTTATCGGAGAGACCTAGGCACATAGGGTTGTTGTTTGAGTTACTTGCGGACGTAGTTCTACAAATGAAAGAATTTGAAATGAAAAACCATTCATATAACCAATAAGTTTGAAATTTAAGGGCGTTCATGCAAATTTTCAATCTTATTGAGCATTTTATCCACGCATTAATAAATGTCCCTTTTAAGCGAGAATAAAATGATTCCGAGATCCCAAAGATTAAGAAATGGTTAAGCATGATTTGGTTTGTCTTAATCATTAAATATCTTAAGGTAAGCAATCCAATTGCTAATAGCTTCAAGCTACTCTCGGTTTGATAAAATGTCGCATCTAATGCATTCTTGACGTTTTATCTCTTTTGCCACGACATCTAAGGACTCCTTACTGATATCGTTGAGCTTAACCAAGACAACTTGTATCACTAGACGAAAATGGTAAAAAGGAACCGGTTCAAACCCCCTTTGGCACCGGTTTTGAACCGTTGGGGATTTGAGGGGTGCCAATTCCGTGAAAATTTGGCACCGGTTCAAAACCGCTGCCAACTAAAGTAGTTAGCACCGGTTAACCGGTGCTAACTACTTGATTTGGCACCGGTTAACCGGTAAATGAGACCTGCAATTTTTTTTTTGTTTTAGCTAGAATTGGCACCGGTTAACCGGTGCTAATTACACCTTCAAAAAAAAAAAGGCTGCGTCTTTTTCTCTCAAATATAATGCAATGAATTATAAAACACCAAAAATCCCTCAAACAAAAAAACACCAAATCGTATTATACATTAATCACACACACACATATATATATATATATTCATCTGATTAAGTGTTATTTTGCAATTTTAAAAAAAATATAAATCACGCTAACAATGTACAACAAAACTTGTTAATCAAATCTTGAATGCGTAGCTTATTCTATGTGCAATCCTTGTAATTTTTTTTTTGAAGTATCAATACCACCTGCATCATAAAAAACCAAAATTAATAAAAATTAAACTAGAGAATAGTTGAAAAAAAAAGAATGAGACATCCAAAATAAAAAAAATAAAAAAAAAAAACCCACAAACCTAGAAATATTGAACCCAGAAAACCCAAAAAAAACCTAAAAAAGTCGAACTACATCCAAAAAACCAGAAAGTTCGAACAAACATCCAAAAAACACAAAAAAAACCCGAAAAACCAAGAAATCAAGATTGAAAAACCAAGAAAAAAACCTAAAAAAAAAACCCAAACAAAACCTAATAATCCATGCAAGACACCCAGAAAAACCATAAAAACCCGAAAAAAAAACCCACAAACCCAGAAATTATGAACCCAGAAAACCCAAAAAAATCCTAAAAAAGTCGAACTACATCCAAAAAACCCAGAAAGTTCGAACAAAATAACACATAAATTCTGATTTTCTAATAATTGATGAACAGAACTTGAATAATTAACGGAAAAAACCCAGAATCAAGGCAATTTAACATCGTAATTGAACCAAAACGCAAAACTAAAGAAACCAGAAACCCTAACCTTAAATTTTGATTTTCTAATAATTATTGGAGAGAAGAACGGCGGCTGGTGATTGCATGAACGTCGGCGGCTGGTTATTGTATAAACGGCGGCGGCGGCGATGGTTTCGAACTTAGACTAAGGTTTCGAAAATGAGGATAAAATGAGGAAGAGAGAACATATGAGGAAGAAGAAGATGAGAAACTGATGAGGAAGAGGATGAGAGATCTGAGAACGAGAGATTAGAGAGATCTGAGCTGCAGATTTTGGAGATAAGGGAGATGAGAGAGAAGGAGCGCTGAAAGATCAGAAAATAAAGGAGATAAGGGAGGGTTGATGAGAGAGAATGAATATGAGAGAGAGATAGAGGGGATGAGGGAATGAATAAAAGGACAAGCCCGAATTTTTTTTTATTAAATTTTTTTAATTGGCACCGGTTTGGCTTGAACCGGTGCGAAAGCCCACCGGTTTTCTAATTTTTTTTTTAATTGGCACCGGTTAACCGGTGCCAAATATCTGTATTCCCAATCCCGCCCATTCTTTCCCACCGGTTTTCAAAAATCGGTGCCAAAAGTGCGGTGCTTATTTCCTTTTTTCTACTAGTGTACATAGTATACCTTACGTTCCTAGGGAAGTAGTGATGCCTCGCTTTGGCGTAGCCCATCACATACGCGCAATAGTCCGGTAAGTGTTGTTCTTGGAACGGCAAATTTTAGCTCAATATTATTAAGGGACCTAGGGTTTCTATGTTGGTTGATTTAAGTGAACTTAACTAATCGTCGCAACATATGAAATCCTAGACATGCATCTAACATTCATATATAACAATGATATATATAAAGCATAAATTATGGGATTTGACAATTAGCATGACCCCTTGAAATCTTCAAATCTTCAAGGGTCCTCATTTTGGCTCGTCTTCATCGAAATGCCGTCTTGAGACATCTTTGCCAAAATAAAATAACTAGCTAGTACGACTAAGATAAATCTAAAGTACAAAAAAACTTAACGGTTCGCAGACCATATTTAGATTTACAAAAATAGATAACGGAACGCAGTCCGTATTTTCTATCCTAATCGGGTCCCACTAGTTGCCATTTTCAATAACCTGTTTTGAAAACAATCTTTCATTCACCCATTCACTTTTTGTGAATGGCCCATGCATATTACGAAATACATAATTAAACACGCAAAACTAGTAACTAACTTAGGTGGTTAATCCGATTAATGCGCCTAATTAAAACTAGTCAAAGTTATTTAATCCATTATTTCTAAAAAACAAATTGCTCACGTGATTAACTAAGTTTCCACTAAATTCCGCATCCATACTTAATCAATCCGATTAATTAAGTTGGCATAACCCATAATTAGTCAAAATCAAAAATTTTGCAAAAGCCGGGAAAATCGAGGTCTAACCTCGTTAAAATAATTTCATAAATATTTTAAAACGACAAAATTTTGCAAAATACAGAGCCCAAAAATTAAGCAACGTAGCCACAACCAAGCATGGTGCATTGCGCACCATGCCTGCTAGGCAGCAGTGGGTTGGCTGGCTGGGGCTTGCTGCCTCGCTGCCCAGCAGCAGCACAAGCACGCCAACAGCCTACACCACACACGCACTTGCAGCATCAAGGCCTGTGCTGGCGCTTAGTGCTAGCATGCTGCGCCCACACAACACACTATGCTGGCCAGCACAAGCTGCTTACTGCGCATGCTAGCTCGCATGCTGGCGCCAACCAGCAAGTGGGGGGCTGGCTGGTGCTTGCAACCACGCTACCAAGCAACAAAATTGAATGAGCTATGTCCATAATTAATTTAGCCAATATGCAAATTAATAATGGATTTGACAAATGGGAGTTGGAAAAAATAAATTAACCATCTAATTGTCGGGTTTCGTAGTAACCCACACTACGCGGAATGAAACCCGCCAAGACCCGCCGCCATAATAAATGCAATTAACAAGCAAAACATAATTAAAAGCATAATAAAGGATAAACGATTATACCTTTGACGCGTGCTTCGGTCAACTATGAGCTCTTACTTGAACCTCGAAAACACGAGGCCTCCGACGGGATCGTACCCTCGAACCCGACCCGAGCGTCCTAAGCCTCGAAGGTTAGTCGAGGCCTGGACAAATATAAACATGGAGTTTTACGAATTTCAAGGTATACTCAACAATGGAGTTGCCTTTACTTTTCCACTCAAGTGTTCTTCTCAAAATCCCAACCAAGTGGGTATTTATAGAGAATGGGAACTTGAATCCCATTTCATAATAAATGTGTGATCATGTGCAAAGGCATTAATTTATTTAATTCCAAATTAAATAATTAATTAAATGCAATCACAATGCAACAAGTGTCAAGGGGAGAGAGAGGGTTAGGTGAGGACCATGAACCTTGGGGGGACCATTGCCTTGCTCCCCAAGGCATACTCCAATCCCTTGGTCCCCACTCCCTCAAACCGTCACCAACTAGCACAGCCAGCCTAGCTTGCCCAGCTGGCACGCATCACCCAGCCCAGCACATATGTGCTGCTAGCGAGCCACGCCTTGTGCTGGGCACTAGGCGCTGCTGCCTGGCTATCTCACACACACGCACAGCCTTGTTGGCTGAGTGCGTAGTATTGCTGGGATACTGGGCCTAGATCACGCACATGCACAGCGGGCTGCTTGGTGCTGCCATGCGAAGGCTAGCACGCAAGCCAGCCCGTATGCTGTTGCGATGCAAAGCAAGCATGCATGCCAGCACTCGCATAGCTAGTATGCACTAGCACTCGCACACGCACAGGGCGATGCCTGGCTTGGTGCTGCTATGCGAGGATGTTGCTGCGATGGTGCGAGACACACACACGGCCTAGCATGCGTGCTGCTAGTGAGCCACGCATGCTGGATAGCTTGATGCTTGGCGACGGTGCTAGGCACACACGCACACGCACACATGCAAGTGCCAGGCACTGCAATGGTGCTGCGATAGTGCCTATGCACCCATGCACGCACGCTGCGGTGCTGCTGTGCCATGCAAAGGCACGCAAACACGCAGGTGGTGCTAGCCTAATGCGCCTAGCACGCATGGCGCGCCTAGCACATCGTGGTGCGCCTAGGCTTGCGATGAGCTAGCCTAGCCTAGCTACGGCTATGCTCGTACTTGTTGCTTGTGATTTTGCGACGCTCGGCCTCGACGCCCTAGGCTCGATATTCGACGTCTTTGTTCGTAAAACTCCGATGACTCATTAAATCCTTCAGATTGATTCGTCGTCTTGGATCGGTTGTTCGATTGGGTTCGACCCGAAGGTTTCAGTTAAGATTAAGTTGTAATATTAATATTATACCTTAATATTACTGATTGGAAGCGGCCTCCACCTAGGCATTCCGATCACTTGATCTTACTGAAGAATTAGCTCTGTAACAATTCTGAACCCTTTATTAGAATAATACACTTGTTGGAAGGACAACATTCCTTTCACTAATGATAAAAATTTTCCAACTTTCATACTTGTGTAAAATACCAAGATTACATCTTCCAATATGAAGATTAATTAAAGTTTTACTCACAAGTATTTGAAATTCATGGATTTTAATCAACCAAAATGAAAAATCCAAACTTTGTTCAATACGGAATTTAGAGTTAAAGTTCCAATCATTTAAAATTTTAAAGATTAGATCTTTAACATTTTTAGGAACTTAAATTTACACATTCACATCAAACATTCACACATTAATACAATTTATTTGCATAATTGTGAAAAATCAAGTTTGTGTGACAAATAGCATATCAACTCAAGCACTAATTAAAACTCCATAATTATGCTTAAGGATATTTAAAATAGCAGTAGATTAGGGATGCAATAATGCATTTCATCTAACCTAGTAATGCTTGCATTAATCAGAGCTTAAAAGATTTAAAATTTTCGTTGAAAAACGAAAAACCCCAAAAACTTGGGTTTCTGGTTCAAATTTGGCTTCTGGACACTTCTGAATTCAAAAAATAAGCGGGAAAAAGCTCTCGGTCAATCACAAGACGACACCTGTAGCAGTCCTTCGTCTGTTACAGGCCGCCACCTGTCACAGGTGACATGTGACCAGTCACGTGCCACCTGTGAGGGGCAAATGATTAGGGGATTTTCTCGCCCAATCAGTGTGCGCCACATGACCAATCAGAATGTCGATTCCACCCAAAAAACACTAATTTTGAGCCAAAATCTAGGTTCGACAGCCAAATCGAGAAAAATACGAGTTTTAAAATTAATTAAAACGAGCTTCTAATCTAATTAGAAAAACAAAACCAGAAATTAAATCTTCTTTAAAAACACCTTAATTAATAAATAATTGCAAAAATTAAAAGGAGCATGGCTCCGATACCGCTGTAGGGTTTCGTAGTGACCCATACTACGCAGAATGAAACCTGCCAAAACCCGCCCCCATAATAAATGCAATTAACAAGCAAAACATAATTTAAAGCATAAGAAAGGATAAAAGATTATACCTTTGTCGCGTGCTTCGCTCAACTATGAGCTCTTACTTGAACCCCGATAGTGCAAGGTCTCCGACGGGATCGTATCCTCGAACCCGACCCGATCGTCCTAAGCCTCGAAGGTTAGTCGAGGCCCGGACAAAATAAACTAGAGTTTTACGAATTTCAAGGTATGATCAACAATGGAGTTTACTTTACTTTTCAACTCAAGTGTGTTCTTTCCCAAATACCCAACTCTTGGTATTTATAGGGAAATGAACCCTTGATTTTCATTTCCCAACCAATGTGGGAGAATGAATAAAATTGATAATTTAATTTAATACTAAATTAAATTAATAATCAAATCAATCACAATGCAACAAGTGTCAAGGGGAGAGAGAGAGAGTTAAGTGAGGACCAAGAATAGGTGCGGGGGACCAATGCCTTGCTTCCCAAGGCTTTGCCCAAGCCTTGGTCCCCACCCTTAACAAAACCGCCTCCAAGCATTGGGTGAGCTGGCTGCTTGCTTTGCTGGCCAGTTAGCACAACTAGCCCAGCATGCACAACTAGCACTGCCAGCTAGCCTAGCCAGCCAGCATCCCCGCATCACCCCAGCCAGCATATGCGTGATGTGCTGGACGATGCTTGTGCTGCTGCTGCGTGCTATCGCTGGGCGTGGCTAGGTGCTGGTGCTAACCACGCCCTCGCACTCCCACTCGCACGCACATGCACTGGCCCAGGCACCCGCATACGCATGGCCCAGCATGCGTGCTGCTAGCGAGCCACGCATGCTGAGGCTTGGTGCTTGACGATGGTGTGAGACACACACGCACATGCACACACGCAAGTGCCCAGCGTTGCGATGGGCTGTACTTGGTGCGTGTGGCCTGCGATGGTGCCTAGGCACCCAAGCACACACGTTGCGGTGCTGCGATGGGTAGCCTAGTGCGCCTAGCACTCATGCCTCGCCTAGGCTTGCGATGAGCTAGCCTAGCCTAGCACTTCACATGGCTAGGCCAATGTGATGCTATGGCTATGCTCGTACTTGTTGCTTGTGATTTTCGATGCTTGGCCTCAACGCCCTAGGCTTGATATCCGACGTCTGTGTTCGTAAAACTCCGACGACTCATTAAATCCTTCGG